GATCTTATTGGGGACGAAGATTGAACAGTGGAAGATGAATCCACATTTTGTTGAAAAGTCTCGCATTCCACACTATCAAGTATTCGAGGAGTACTAGGTATGGTTGTTCGAGAGAAAACAGGTAAAATGCTCGATGCTCCTGTTGATAATGTTAGTTCCTTTTCGTCAGAACTGCTCAAGTTTGACTCGTTCTTGCCGGAAATGGGTGACGTGATTGTTGACTCAGAAGAATGAGACACGTGATCGTCAAAATAGCAATTATCATCTGTGGAAGTTATTTCCGCGTTCGGACCATCACGCATGGGTTCCTGTACTTCAGTGTTCTTGCTTTCGATTTTATCCGTTTGTAAGGAAGACTCGGAAATGGGTGATAAACCCGAATCAACTGCTTTGTCAAAAATAACAATTTCTTTTTCTGCAACGTCATCCGAAACTTCAAGATTAGATTTAAGATTTGAGGCATTATCATTAATAATTGAATTCTTCATCGCACTTTCTTCATCCTCAATTGTGGTTCGAGCGCGGTCGTGAACGTTGTGATCCTTGTCGGTGAGCGAATCTTGATCAACAGGACCATTCTCTACGATAAGATTTTGATCGGACATCTCAACCGAATCCCGGCGGGCGTCACATTCGTGTCTTGAAGTGGGGCCACAGTCGGTGGTAGCAAGCGGTTGTTTATTTGCACCTGAATTGAGGTCAGGGTCAATGATGATAATTGGTTGTTGATTTGCAGCTTCGCAATCGTCATTGGAATTCTTCTCAAAACCTCGACTCTCGTTAATTCCACGATTCAAAGCTCTACGATCAATTGAGTTTAAAAGCGAAGACGTGGAATTGCTTGATGACGACGACGAAACCGACGAAACTGACGACGATCGGGCAAGACGTACTCGTCCAATCAACAATCGCCGTAAAGTTGTTATTCCAAAACGAATTACTCGACGAACAAAGCCACCGGCCCCAAAGGATCCTAGCAAGAGATGGATCAGAAGAAAAAATGTTGAAAGGGGTGCCGAAGTCTCTTTGTGATGGGTGAAAATATTAACTGGCGACTGGATTGCTAAATGCTTTAATTGTGTAGTATATAAACACCAAAAATTTTTATGGCATTTTATGATCATGTTGATAATGGTCATATGTTTTCAAAGCATCGTTATTTTAATATTATATATATACATACTGTACATACAGTATTTATATATATTTCATGAGCATTATTTTTTTCCTGGATCACTGGTCGAAAGTGATAGATACAGTGGATCCAAG